CGCGCAGGGACCGTGCCCCGCGGGGGCGGGGGGGGGGGGTGGCAGATTGCTGAGCTGGAGGGGAGTGCACACACACTCAGTGGCAGACCCAGAAGTGGACCAGAAGTACTTCCAGTCCACTTCCAGGTTGCTGCCAAGAATGCGGGGGGCCATCCCATGCTCCTGTAGGATGCTCCATCCACCCCACCATTGTAGTGTTCATGAGCCACACCTGGTACCTCAAGGTATCTAGAAAACGCATTTAAAGCTGTGTCTATGCCCAAATCACTGATTCTCTGAATCAGCATTGAATCTTCAGATTTGAATTTGGCCAAATTGAATCAGGGACAGTAATTTGAATCAATGAATCAAATCACTGTCCCCAATTTGGGCCAAATCCAAATCAAATACGGCCTGTTTTGCACAGCCCTAGTACCCAGGATTGCCTGGTATCCTTTAGTAAAGGAGCAGGGGTTGTGCAAATGGGTTCCCCTCCCCACTCTTAAGATCCCTGGGTGCAGGCTGTCAGTATGAGGGAATCAGGGACAGGAGTTGCTAGAGGAGGTTCTCTGGGAGAACTAAAGAAAGCAGCAGGGAATCATGGCTTTGTGGGAGCTCCAGCAGAGCTCAATAAAGTACAGCTGAGAAGGGGTACTCCAGGTGCCAAACACAGGGGACCTGCCTTAGGGAAGTGTCTGGGGAATGGTGCAATTGATTGCAGGCATCCAGGAAAGACTGGAAAAGGAAAGAAAACCTGGTATCCAGAGCAGCCACACCTGAGGTCTTGACAGGCACCCCCACCTTCTGTCCAGATGACAGCATCGTCTCACCTCTTCTGAAGCAGAGCAAGCACCGCTCCCCAGGGCTCCACTACAGCCACTGCACAGTGGACTACTTTGCTGCAGGCAGAGTAATTTTGTGGAGACCTGGCTGATTAAGTGTATATACTTGTTATAAGTTGCCCAAGTGTTGAAGTTGATAACATAATTGCTTTTGCTATATGATAAGTATTTGCTTTATCTGCTGGTATATATTTTATTGAGTTCATTGACAAATTCAACATCCCATAAATAACAAACAAAATATTTTCAATCTCTCAATTATTATAAATAATAAATTATTGTAAATAGTTATTTAGTGTGTGATCTGGTGCGGGGAGGATCACAGGAGAGCACTCCAATGAGTGGTGGCTCCCAGCCTGCAGATGAAGTGGGAGTAGACCAAGACCTACTGGCACCCAAGAATCCCAGAATGTGGATGTAGCTGCAGGTAGCACCACCGCCAGGGTTACATAAATAACTGTGTAATATAAAGGTTACTACTGGAAGTGGGAGGTCATGTTATCATCATCCATGCCTGTGGGCAAATCATTTCAAACATCACCTTTGGAAACATCAAAGAACTTCTACAAAGACTTCTACAAAGCATGGAGGAAAGACAAGCTGGATGATTTCAGTGCATGTTTTGGAGTAAATCATCAAGCCTGACAGCATTGGAAACATAGCATTGAAAAGTATACCAAAAGTAGGCTACTATTCTATAATTATAAACACCATCTTTTGGTTCCCAAATAAGAATAAAACTTGCAGGATGCACCCCTATTCCAAGCATGTTTTCCTTAACACCCAATGAGATTTCAATACAAAAAGGGACAAAGACCCATGACCTCTACTGCCTGGAAAATGAAGAGTAGAATATGGCCTACTGCTGTCCTTATGGTTTTTCAAGGGCATTTAATATTATCAACAGAGATAGCTTGTAGAAATCTACATGATTGACTCCCCTGACAAATTTTCTGTCCAGTAAAAAATGGTATAAAATAGCACTG